TCCCTACTGTGAAGCATGGGGGTGGTAACATCATGCTTTGGGGGTGCTTTTCTGCGAAGGGGACAGGACGACTGCACTGTATTAAGGAGAGGATGAGATTTTGTGAGATTTTGACCAACAACCTCCTTCCCTCAGTCAGAGCATTGAAGATGTGTCGTGACTGGGTCTTCCAACATGACAACGACCCGAAGCACACAGCCAGGATAACCAAGGAGGTACTCTGTAAGAAGCATATCAAGGTTTTGGAGTGGCCTAGCCAGTCTCCAGACCTAAATCCAATAGAATATCTTTGGAGGGAGCTGAAACTCCGTGTTGCTCAGCGACAGCCCCGACACCTGACAGATCTAGAGGAGATCTGTGTGGAGGAGTGGGCCAAAATCCCTGTTGCGGTGTGTGCAAACCTGGTCAAGAACTACAGGAAACGTTTGACCTCTGTAATTGCAAACAAAGGCTTCTGTACCAAATATTAACACTGATTTTCTCAGGTGTTCAAATACTTATGTTCAGCAGTGCAAGACAAATAAATTCTTTAAAAACCATACAATGAGATTTCCTGAATTTTTTTTTTTTAAATTCTGTCTCTCAGAGTGGGAATGCACCTACAATGTGAATTTCAGACCCCTCCATGATTTCTAAGTGGGAGAACTTGCAAAATCGCAGGGTGTTCAAATACTTCTGTTCCTCACCGTATGGCCAGCTAAACTTACCTTATGATCAATGGTCTGCATCCCTTGCTGGCATCTTCAGCAGTCTTCATCGGCTAAAGCAACATGGTGCAACACCTGGGCATGGCTGGGCATGCCCAGGAGTGCAGTCATACCAGCACACATTCACTGCACAGGAATGTAAACCAAACTGTGCTTGCACACTTCAGTGTACATTCCAAAGAAGACTGCAAGCAGTCAGTTAGTTTTCTATTATTGCAGAAGAGAAATGTCTCTTCTGCAATAAAGAGCCTGCCTGCTTGCAGTTTTTGACAGTGGGACATTAGTTATTTTCTACAATACCTGAAACGGAATCTGCCTGGTTATATAAGAACGGCCGTATTCATACACACTACCAAGAGGCGTTGTACTGCTGCAGCTGGGCTGACAGGTAGCTATGAACAATTGCAGTGAAGAAGCCTGTACAAAGCAATTATGGGCTGGCAGATGTATCTGCACGTTATGCAATTACCTGTGGGTAGGAACAGATGTCCAACCATGGACACATCCAGAGAATCTCTCCCTAACTGCAGGTAAGCACTCCATGTGCGGATACATCTTTCCACCTGTAACTGCTGTGTACAGGCTTCCCAGCCACAGCAGCCTGTAACCACCTGTCAGTCCAGCTGCAGCAATACCTTACCACTGTCCATCTGTGTGAGGCTTTTATCTGCCAGCTTCATACCGGTAGACAACCACTGCTGAAGCTGAGATGCCATCCATCTCAAACCTACACAGGTAACGTTTATCACCTCTCATTATCTTTTCCAACTCCCGCAGGCACTGTTCACTGATGGTTCTTCAGAGGTCTACGGAGGCAGGGTTGTACAGCACCCTGGCAGCCCCTGCCTGCATTGTATAGAGAAACAGAGACCCAGAGTCACTGGGTCAAAAATTGTGTAAAGAAAACAAAGGATTTACTTAAAAGCTCATAAGTATGCCAAGGAGGAGAAGGAACCAGGGAAGACAATATATAAGCAGATTAAACTTCAGCTTTAGGCAAATATTGAGCAACATAAAAAAATCTATCAACTATTTTTTTATTGCACAGATTTTCTGCTTTTAGAAAATATACATTGCTTTGGGGATTTAAAGGATAAGTTCGCCTTTGGGAACATGTTACATGTTCCAAAGAATATATAAACAGGATCAAACTGCGCAAGTATCCAATCACCTTATTCCACAAATCTGTGAATTTTAAAGAGGATATCCTCTTTTCAAAAAGCCTAATTAAATAAAATATTGCGCTATGTGAAAGCAGGAGCGAGGCTCCCTCTGACGTCATCGCGCTGTTGGCCATCTTAGAAGCGGTCTTTTTTAAAGCTTTTAATTGTTCTACAGCCTGTAAGTAGGATTTTACTTGTGCAAACAAAGGATTTTGAAACGTATTACACTATGAGAGGCATGTTTTTTTCTTTCATGATATTATTTGGCACCTTTGGAGTTCACATTTGGGTTTGAAAGATCCCTGTTCTAGGCATAGCATGGAGAATCTGCTAATATCTTACATTGCAATGCTGGTTGAGACCCCCTATAATTAAGGGGTCTCTATTTCGAGTCCATTTAATCATTTGGTGGTGGTGTACACATTGGTGAATAACTGAAGGAAGACTACCCATACTGCACCTACAGCATTGATATATGTTTACTCTTTTTTTTTTTTTTTTTTTTATTTGATCACATTTCACAGACTTGAGTGTCTCCATATGTATGCATACGATTAGTGAAATTTACACAATACTATTTAGTTATTTGTTTTTGATCACTTTTCATAGGTATGAGAGTCTTAGTGCATACGCATGTTGTATGAAGCTTATGGTTACACATAGCACAATATTTTATTTAATTATGTTACATGTTCCACCCATTTTTTTTTTTTGGTGGAACATGTAATAAGTTGCAGCTTCCTGATCGACCACCAATTGCCCCCCCCCACCCCCGTGGCAGCGGGTGAGTTTCTCCCCGTACCCATTGTCGCTATTTGAACAGAGCACGGCTGTGAAGGGCTCCGCCCACACAGCATGTCACTCATTCACAGAATTCTGCGAATGAATAAATTACAACAACCTTTGCGGCTGATGGCTTGCTGTTGAGCGCTCTAGGTAGTTCATTGATTTATTGTGTAGTTGCCTGCATATATGATGTACAAGCAGACAGCTTACACTGACAGTCTGCAGGAGCCCTGCATTGCACCCGTAATCTGCTGCTCACACAGGTGCAATGTCTACAAAATAAATAAAAAATAATTAGCAAATGCACATTTGTTTTACCTGCAAAAAATAACATGCATTTATTTATTTTTTTCTAAAGGTGAACTTTTTTAAAAATTTTTTAAGCCCAAAAAGTGCATTTTAACCACTTGCCCTCCAGAGGATTTACCGCCCTTCCTAACCAGGCCATTTTTTGCGTTACGGCACTGCGTTATTTTAACTGACAAATGCGCGGTCATGCAACGCTTTTTTTTTTATTCCCCACGAATTGAGCTTTCTTTCTGTGGCATTTGATCGCCTATGCGTTTATTATTTGTGCTATACAAAAAAAAAAAAAAAAAAAAGACCGACAATTTTGAGAAAAAAAAAAAACATTTTTTACTTTCTGCTACTAAACATGTCCAGTAAAAAAAAAAAATTTAAAATCAAACTTAGTTATAAATTTAGGCCAAAATGTACTCTGCTACATGTGTTTGCTAAAAAAAGAAATTCCAATAGGTGTAAATGAATTGGTTTACGTGAAAGTTCTAGTGTTCAAATCACGGCATATATACACTGGGATTTTTTTTTTCTACTAGCAATGGCAGCGATCAGTGACTTATAGCAGGCATTCTGACACTGGGGGGGTGGGGGAGGAGGGAGACTGGCTTGGTGTCACTAACATCTCCAGTGACACCAATACAGTGATCAGTGCTAATAAAAAAAGCACCGACACTGTACTAATGGCACTGGGCAAGAAGGGGGTTAACATGTGGGACAATCAAAGGGTTAACTGTGTGCTGTTTTACTTTGGGCTGTGTCTGTGTGCTTTACTGTAAGCACACTGCTATGCATGGTTGTGCTGTGCACAGCCATTCAAAGTAGTGTGCCCGAGCTGACAGGGAGAACTGTTTTGTTTACAAACTGTTCTTCTTCCTCCCCCCCAGTCGGAGATGCTCGGCAATAACCGGGCACCGGTACCTGGCGATTGACAACCGTGGTGGCCGCGTTCCCGATCCCAGAAATTATTATTATTATACAGGATTTATATAGTGCCAACAGTTTGCACAGCACTTTACAATATAAGGGAGACAGTACAATTACAATACATTTCAGTACAGAAGGAATGTGAGGGCCCTGCTCGTGGAGCTTACAAACTAAAGGAAATGCAAAATCATGTATATATACACGTGATTTTGCGCACCCGTGCTGCCCTGTAGCAGTACTTCTGCTATAGGGCAGACCGGAAGCAGTTAACATGGGTGTCTTGCAGCACTGGAGTCCCTAATTGCATGTTTCCTCTGGATACTCCAGATTCCTCCCACACTTAATGCTGGTTGGTCATTTGGCTCTTATCTAAAGTTGCCCTAATCTATTCATGCGAGAATGGTACCTTTAGGCCTTGTTCATGTGGGGTGTACATAAACTTACCCCCATTCAGGACCATGTTAACACACATGGGGATGCACAAGTGTTCCGTGAATCCCTATGCAGGCAGTCCTGTTGATATCACAGACACAGCGTCTCAATAGAACATCCATGTCAGTCTGGGTACTTGAAAGCAGACAGTGTGAGTTCAAGGACACGCACCCACACTAATGTCACATTGGGCACAGCGGCTATGTCCTTGCAGCCGCTATGTCCCAACTGAAATGAATGGGGATGCACAGAGGACCCGCACATTCCCATGTGGGCAAGCTTATGTACACCCTGTGTGAACAATGCCTTAGATTGTAAGCTCCTGGAGGCCAGCTACTGAACGTACAGTAAGAAAAGCATTGCATATACCAGGACGTTACCTATAATAAATGAGTACAAAATAATTATCTGCCTGGCAGTCAAAGGGATAAAGGAAATAGCCTCTCATAGCATTTCAGTACTTTACAAATACAGTGCTGAGAAAAGGGTCAATATGTATAAGTCTAGCAGGAAACCATGACAACACACAAGAGATGGAAGCAGGAGGAGGGCAGAGCATAGAAACCACTGGAAGCTGAGCAAGTTGCTGAAACAGGAGACATAAACAACATTCACAATGTACATCAGCTGCACACACACACATATAACCTGCCCACTGAACACACAAGACCTTCCACTTCCTCCTCACCTCTCCGCTCTCTATCCGCAGCTCTCTGGCAGCCTTGCTGTATCCATTCTTCAGGAGATGCTGGTGAATGAGAGCCAACAAGGCGCTCCTAGACTTCACCATAGCGCCAACATGCACAGACGATCCTCACATACACACACACCTCCGCTGTACAGCACCATGTGCTTCCTGTTACATAACTTCCGGGAGTTCAAGCACCACTCAGAGCTCGGCTTAGCGAAAGGGGTTCGGCTGCAGACTGGAGTCCCACTTTCGACAGGAAACATGTGACCTACAGTCCACCTTTTTTTTTTCTTTTTTTGTTTAATGAACTTTAATGTAACAAACAACCTGTCTGGCTGCAGACTGGATCTCCACTCTACAGGAAAAATGTGACTTCCCATCCAATTTTTTTTTTCTCAATGAACTTTAATGTAACAAACAACCAAGAGACACAACTGAAGGAAATGGAGGTCACATGTTTTCTATCACATCTGCATTTCCCAAGGGTATCTGGCTGCAGACTGGAGCTCTGCTCTTGACAGGAAACATGCAACCTCCATAGTTTTTTTGCACACCTGTTTAAAAAAATCACTTTAGGCCTGAAGAATACACAATCCCTCCCCAAACATTATATATTTCCTGAAAGCAGACACCCTAGAGAAGAAAATAGTCAAGCCTTAAGGAATTAAGTGTTTTCAACAGCTGCAGCTATTTTTTTCTGATTCCTGCGCATGCAGAGATGCATATTTTCACGGCATCTTTATGCCACACTGGCAACTGGGAGTTAATGGGGGGTGCCTGGCTGCCACCCGATTGCTTCCACACACAATCCGGTAACACTGCCACCTGCGCTTGCCCCTGCCATGAATTCTGGGTTCTGCTTTCCCATCTGCCTGGCCGGAACTGACATAGCAGGTGCTGGCAGGTCGAGGGGAGGGAGGAGAGCGGACACACGTTTGATCTCCTCCCCTTCTGTGACCCGGAAAGTGGTGTGTATGATGTCACTTCCAGGTCACCCTGTCACTTTCTCCGGCTAGCATAGCTGGGAAGGAATGTATTGCAATGTGATCTACATTGCAATACATTTAGTGCAGCACAGAGGAGACATGCCGAGTCTTTTAGACCCTGGATTTCTCAATAAAGACCTGTCACCAAAAAATCATCACATAGGGGACTGTTTGTCCCCTATGTGATGAAAAAAAAAGTTAAGCAAAATAATAAAGTTACACCCAAGCACATAAAATCCTCCCAAAAGATGTCCCCCCCCACCCCCATATAAAACATACTGCAGTTGCCAACAGTCCCGAAATGTCCGGGACGCTCACTAATTTTTCACAGCTGTCATGGACAGCCCTTGTCCCTGGAAAATCAAGATTTCTCCTGGACAGCTGAACTGCTGGCTTTTAGTGATGCAGGATGGCTGGCTCTAATAGCTGCCGCTGGCAAAATAGCTACTGTGGGGCCGATCACACTCTTGTGAGGGGGGGAGGACAGGGAACTTTCACCGCTGACATTTGTGGCTCCCATGTTCTGGCTGTTTGGGGCCTCGAGATATAGCAGGGTGTATTCCTTGGTTCCCTAATCTGGAGAGAAATTACTTATGAAGGGCCAACTGGGACATGGCATGAGCTGCACTCCTATGTTTACTTGGAATTTCCCCTGGCCTGCGATTGGAAGGTTGACAGAAAGTGCTGGCAGCCCAGAGTGCTCTGTGGAATTTAGTCGCGTGCCGACAACCAGTGTGTGTCATGGAAGGAGAGACAGGCCAGAGATACCTACTCTAGCCAACAGAGGATGACCATGATGGGAAGAGGAGCCTTCCTGGAGGTAAGTGCCTTACTACATACCTCACCTCACTATGCAGTCATACTACATCTGACAGGACTGTGTACTATGAGTATGGCGTGTGTATTTTTTAATGCTCGTTTATGATCATGTGAGATGGGGAAATAGCTCTCATGGTTTGAACACTGTGTGGAAGTAAATTAATGTTTTGACTGACATTCTGCGGTTTAGCCACAAGATGTCACTGTTTTTCTAACACAGCCTCAGACTGCATAGATATTTGTATATTCATGAAGAGGTGGGGTTATTTGCACACAGAGTTGGAGAGAACAGGAAGGAGAGGGGGAAGCCATGTTTTGGAGCATGGTGAATAAGGGGCCCTGTGAGCTGAGAATCTGATGACATCCAGGTGTGAAAGCGTCCCTCCGTGACCAGAGCTGCAGCTAAGTGAAGCTGATAAAATTGCTGCCAGGAAGCTGATGAGATTGCTGCCAGGAATGCTGATGAGATTGCTGCCAATAAGCTGATGAGATTGCTGCCAGGAATGCTGATGAGATTGCTGCCAGGAAGGCTGATGAGAGCAGAGGAACTAAGCAACATATACAGCGAAACCGCATGCTTGTTGGAGAGACATTTGTTCTGTTCAGAGTCACTAGTGGATGCAAAGCAGACTCGGGTCGGTCGGTAAGATCGTGCACGCACCTCATTTCAGTGTTGGCGCCTTGAGACTGAGTCTGGGCCTATAGTTAGTTAGTTAGGGTCTCTGTTTGTGTCAGGCCACAAGTGTTGTTACTGATCATTGGAAGGACTCCACAACTTAAAGTGACATTTCACATTAGAGAGCTGATAAAATCCTACAAACGCAAGCCAGACTGGCGTTTTGCTCAGAATGAATACTCAGGCACGTGCTTCAGGACCAGTTATGGGAGAGGGAATACTGTAGATTTGTGTAAGATTGTAAGCTGTTGTGCTGCACCCAGGGGGCGGACTGACCATTTGGAAACTCTGGCACTGCCCGAGGGCCCGGGGTCAGTAGGGGGCCCCATAAGATGCCCCTGGTACCTTTTTCATAGGCTTTTTTTGAGTTTGGGCAAGGACACAGGGGCCCCATGATCCCCTATTGCCCCATGAGTTGTCAGTCCGCCCCTGGCTGCACCGCAGGCTAGCCCATACCATACACCCATACACTGATTCCTGCTCTTTTAGGGTAATAACAGGTAAGGTGTGGCAGCTTAGTTGTGCCCACCAGTAGGTAAATTACGTCACTTTCTACCTTCATCCATCAGAAGGTGTCGTGCTGTGCAGCACAAGGGTCTCAGCCTTTGGGCTGGGTGTATGTAAATTTATTGTATGTTTCCAGCATTCGTGGTTGTGTTTATTTGCCACATCTAAGTAAAATTCTGTTGTGGCAAAAGCTGGTGTTGGGGTTGTGCTCCTCGTTCGTGACTTCACTGTATCCTGGGGAACCCCCCCCCCCGGTACACAGCTTACAATCACAGGATCATCTGTATTAGTATATCATTGGGTTTATTTTTATATTTTAGCGCTTTTATTTCTTTAGTTATGCATTGGTAAATGTAATGAATTCACTCTTTTTTGAACAGCAGGTTTGGGAGTATATACAGCATTTGTTCAGTTTTCCACATTTATTTATGTGGCGCTGATAATAAACTGATTCACTCAGAATGTGTGTTTTATATTACTGGTAAGGTATGTAGTTGCAAATATATATGGATCACAGCCATCTTTAACATGAGAAAAAGGGGCAGCTGCCTTGGGCCCAGTCATGGTTGTGAGGCCCAAAACAGCTGCCCCTGCAGTCTCCGACCCTCTCCTGTACTACTCTTGCAGTCTCTGACCCAGTCTTGTAGTACTCTTGCAGTCTCTGACCCCTTCTTCTACTATGCCTGCAGTCTCTGACCCTTTCTTCTACTATGCCTGCAGTCTCTGACCCTTTCTTCTACTATGTCTGCAGTCTCTGACCAACTGCTGTACTACACCTGCAGTCTCTGATCCTCTCCTATGGTACTACTGCAGTTTCTGAACCCCTCCTGTAGTACGCATGCAGTCCCTGACCCACTCCTGTAGTATGCCTGCAGTCCCTGACACTCTCCTGTAGTAGCCCTGCAGTCCCAGACCCTTTCCTGTAGTACGCCTGCAGTCCTTGACCCTCTCCTGTAGTACGCCTTCAGTCCCTGACCCTCTCCTGTAGTACGCCTGCAGTCCCTGACCCTCTCCTGTAGTACGCCTTCAGTCCCTGACCCTCTCCTGTAGTACGCCTGCAGTCCCTGACCCTCTCCTGTAGTACGCCTTCAGTCCCTGACCCTCTCCTGTAGTATGCCTTCAGTCCCTGACCCTCTCCTGTAGTACGCCTTCAGTCCCTGACCCTCTCCTGTAGTACGCCTTCAGTCCCTGACCCTCTCCTGTAGTACGCCTGCAGTCCCTGACCCTCAGAAAAAATGTGAACAGAGAATTCACAAGAACAAGCGGTTACATGAAGGACAATGCGATACTCAAATTAATTATCAAAATATGCTTTTATTAGCAAAATTGCAATGTGAGAAAATTGAGTAAAGACTGCTAGTAGCCATCACCTCAATATAAAACAATACAAAAGACACCCTAAAAACAAAAAAGAGAGACATCATGACTAGGCCTTAAATTGTACTATGCTACAGAGACAACAACTCAAAGGTTTTTTGCTCATACAGCAAAGACACATCGGGGTGCACCACCTTGGTGCGGATACATATATCATGAAGAGAATGCAATATTGGTGTAGACCAATCATCAAAATGATAAAAGTGTAACCTCTATTGGCATGGAAATTGATCAACATGTATAAATACATCAGTGGTTCATATAGTGAACTCGTGTAGAGCTATTCACCCTGAGGTCATCACAGAGGACAAGGGGCCATATTGGAGTGGTGCAAGGGGCCCTATTGGAGTTGATAGCCAGTCCTCAGAGAGGAAGCTTCGGCCCTCAACTCCAGTCACCCTTCCTTTCCTTTCAGGTACAGCAGCTGCTGGCAAGGCCTATGGTAAATGATGTATGGGTTCAGGGAAACCCTGGGAAAGCCCACCGTGCTGTTCATGAGCTGGACGGCAGGGGGTATCCTCCCTCAAGCCTTCGGCCTACCTCATCTCACAGGAGGTGCAGACAGAATGGGCCAAAGAGACAGAGGGAATATCGCAGTCAGGAATCCAGAAATCCCGCAGGGTCTGGGCATCACCAGTAGTCTCGGTCCCCAAACAGGATCAGACCAGGCTTTGTGAGGACCTTGGAAGACTGAGTGCCAACCCTGTGGTTGTGGCCTACCCCATGCCCAGGAA